ATTTTGTATTGACAAAAGGTGAATTCAAACAAACAAATATTTGAGATAAAATTATATATTGAAATTATTGTTGAAAAAACAAACTTATTTACAAGTGATGATTTTAAAACGGTAGTCAATGGACAACTAGCAGAAATACAATCGAGTACAAAATTACAGAAACATTTTGAAATTTTATCGTTTTATTTATTTTATTTTTTGTACAGAACTGTAAATAGAACGGCATATTTAAACAATGAAATTGACACAGAAATATGGCAATATTATTTGTTGATAATAATTTCATAAATGAAAAGATTAATTAACATTTAAATGTGATTGATGATGATTACAGTTGTAATCGAAAGCTCCTGTTTTAAATAAAAGTTTAAAATAATGATTATTAAATTCATACAAAGAAATATTGCAACGTTTGTATAGCCTAAATTTGGTTTCATTTAAAGATTATAAAGACAAAGAGATATAATAAGAGAGATTAAAAGTCTTTTCTGAAACAATAGAGCATTCCGTAGGCAATTATTATTTTTTTTATAATATCAGATTTATTTATTGCTAAATCAACTTTATTTTTCAAGAGACCTGCTCCAGGATAACGTCAATAGTTCAATTTAGAATTGAATACAAGAAAACAAAAACATACATCACTCGAATTGATAGATTATAACAAATTTTGATTTGTTTCTCCAAATAGGACTTGTAGAGCACAATCACTAACCATTTAAACTTTAAAGATCCCGTAGTTGAATTTTCATCATTATTCATGGATTAAAGTGACGCTACTTTTCGTGATAACCATCGACTTTTCTTTCTTTCTCCAGTCGATAAAACTATGTAAAGGAGAAACGTTATTTCTATTCATTTTAATACATTTCGAGTTATTTACTAATAGTAAAAATTTTCATAATATTAATAATGATATTTATTCCATTTTGAGTGAATTTTTATTTACTTTTATTTTCTGTATTACCACTGCTTTGAATTAATTAATACTTCGATTTAACTTGAGATTTTTCAACATAATTCACCAAAATTTTTTTGTTTACGCATTTGATAAAAATGCCATAATGATGGAATAGGAAATATTTCACCATCACAAAATACATACAAATTTTTGTACGGTTGATAACGTCTTAAATTACCCCATATACCGAAGCCAGAATTCGATATTATGGATAAATCACATTCACCTAATAAATGAAAATCGACTAATAATTTATCTTGTTCACGACATGCTTCATCTGTATTCGAACGATCTAAATGCGTTATTGTACCTTGAGTATGAATTAAATGATGAGTATAACGACGTTTAGCTTCTTTTTGTACAGCATCACTATCAGTAGTTACAAATATCTTATAATCAATTATCGTATCATTAGTTTTTATATAATTATCAATAAAATTAAATATTATTTCGGTTATATTTCGTCGACCAAGTAATACCTTATCATTGACTAATGTCGGATTTTGACCTTAAAAGTTCAAATATTTAATAAATAAAAGATAAAAAATTATATTCAAATGTCAATTAAACGAACAATATATCAAATTAAATTAGAAAAAAACAATAATCTTACCTTTTCTTAATTGTGCACATATTAACGTTCTATTTTTTCTCATATTTATATATTGTTCAATTTGTTGTTTAACACGTTCTACTGGTTGAAACAAAAGTTCATAAAACAATGGAAATAATGTTTCTAATTTAATATCATATTTTGTTAAAATTCCATAAGTTTTAAACTTTTTACGATATCGTAAATTTTCTGACATCTCATGAAAATAATTTTTATTTGTAGACATGTAAATAATATCTTCTGACCATATTTGATTAATTGTTGAGTTTTGAATAATTTTAGATACATTTTTCAAATAAGATTTTTTAATATTGTCTGTTGTCATTATGGCTTTAAGCGTTAATTTATGACTTTTATGAGTAATTGGATCACGACGAAGAACATTTAATGGTCTTAACCAATTATAAAAATTTGGTTTTAATACTCGTGTAAGATTACATGGATGAGTAATTTCTATTCGAAAATCACGATCTAACATTAGAGACATCATAAATGTTGACATTATACCTCGTAAACGATCACCCCATCCTTAATAAAAGGTAGACGTATATAAATATAAAGTTAAAGAAGAACTCTTACAACACGCTCGGAAACTGTGATATACTAGTATTTCAGTGATATTCGATGTAAAATTGAAATATATACCTCCACAATTTGCATGACAAGCATAGACAAGATATTTTTTTTGACTCTTTTGTGCTAAAACCATTGATAAATTAACTCCAGCTGTTTTACTATTTATTAACCAATATTTTAGCCGAGTTTCATCTGACTGTGATACTAAAGTGTCTATAGTTGTGCTGACATTGTCATTTGTTAGTTGATTAGTTCCCGTAGAAAAATGATGTTCAATCGTTGATTGTCGCTTAATTTTTATCGAAGAACTATTATAGAAATAATTAAGTTTGTCTAAATTATAGATTTGTTGGATTAGTTTTTTATAGCGAGTGGTAGTAGAAGATCGTAAAATTGCAGTTGTTATTGTTATTGTGATAGTTGTGTATGTTGTCGATCGTTGTGATGATAAAAAATCTTCGTCTTCTTCCGATTTAATGGATGTTGAGTGGATCGACCAAATAATACAAAGTGTTACAACAAATAAGAAATACGATAAAATCGTTCGTTTACACAAATTATTTCGTACCATACGGAGACATAAAGATTCATAAACCTGATAAAGAAAATGTCAGTCAAAAATGAGACAATAACTTGTTTAGTGTTGTAGAACAAGATTATGAATAGAAAAATCGTAATGATGGTAGTCATCTATTCTAGAACATTCAACGGTAGGACTCAGTAATATGTTGATATTAGTAACATTGGTAGTCATCAAGTCGTTATTAGAAAACTGATATCTCAAGAGCTAACCAAAGTGCATAACTTTTAAAATTCTTTTCATTTATGTAATGGTTAAAGAAAAGTTGTATTTTAGACTTTTAGAGGACGTGTTTTATCAAAAAGCAAAAGGAAGAAGAGTGTCCCATATCTTGTGACTAACGTTGCGGATGTAAGATGTCGATAAATTATACTTGTCACTTTTGAGTAACTCGATATCTTTCCTCTCATCAATAATATCCAAAAGTGGTCACCCAACCTTTTACTAATTATCAAACTGCAGTCTGACGCCGAAATTTTTTACCCCATTAGTTGAACTTCCCATACACACTATAAACCATTAGTAACCCAAGGCAACTATGTTGTACACAATGTAGTAGGTATGCTGTCGAACCGATAATGGCCAACACATAAGTGTTCCCACTTGTCGGTTTCGAATATGTAAGGTGCACGCAAAGCAAAATTTTGCTAAAATTTTGCTTTGGGTGCACCTTACCTTCAACGTATGTGGCGAACAGCATAGCAGTCCAGTCTAATTGCTTAATTGTTACACAAAATGACGATTTATTTGACATCACTATTCTCTTTGTGATGTTTTTATTGTGTGTTTTATTGTGATGGTATTCTCGGATGAAAATGAGTTATCACACGTGGTTATGTGTCTAAAGTCTTTCGGACAGACCAGATGAGATATTGACCACAACAAAAGGTTAATAATATCTATGTAACCATAGTTCTCAGAAATAAGTTGTCACTTATACAGCGAGACAGTAAATTCATCTATAAGTACGTAATAGTTTGAACGATTATACAATTAGACCTAGTGTTGAACTTCAAAATGATAAACTACTTAAATATTTGTTATTATTATTATGTTTTTATAGATAAAAAGTGAAAGTAGAATGCAGAAACTGAATGGTGTGCGGTACACAATACAAAAGTAATGTTGCAAATGTATTAGTATTCAATAAACCTGTCTTTTCACATATCTAGACATCTAAATTTTGGAAAATCAAACAGCAATTTGATTCCACGTGTTTTTCAACGGACACTAACTTCATAGTCTTGCTGTACATGACAATACATAACTTAGATCTGCTTGAAAAGTAGCTTTCAGAAAGCTTAATAGAAGATCACTGCTATGTAGTTTTTAAACTTGCTATGTTTTTGCGTATGACTCTGTGTTCTGAGAAAAAAACTTATATGTTCTGACCGTTGCAAATACCTTTTCTCGGTGGTCTTCGGTATTCTAACAAATGACATCTGACATTTGTAATCGAGAAATAAAATTCACTATTTACACGTGCTTACATATGTGTTATGGATTTTATTTTATGTTAATATACGTTTTACAGTGAATAATAGTGCAGAATTTTCATATGAGGCATGACAAATATTCTAATTGAACTCTATTAAGTCACCCTCAGACTTTCTGATACTCATTATAATAAATATAATCGTTCTTTGATACCAATAATGAGGCGCCGACAAGATGTGTCTTGCTAATTAACTATTTTTTTATGTGAAATATTGAAAATATTGTATTAAATCTATTAAAAAACCCTAAATTTCTTCATAATCTATCGGGGAAAACGTGCAGTTTTGCTCGCACGAACTACAGTCAGGGAGAGCACACCTCCAGATGGTGGTGTGGTTCGACAGAAGCCAAAAACAGCATCACGGCGTCAGCAACAACGAAAAGATACGTCTAATAACAACACCTCTAATAAACAATCCCTAAATCACCAATCACAACAACCAATGTCGAAATTAGCACCTCTGATACTACAAGATGCAAAATCAGATCGTTACGACGTAAATAAAATTATTAAAACTCACTTACCAACTGTTCGATTGACAGGCATTTAGTGTAACAAAAATGAAACGATAACGATGTTTGCAACTGATGTCAAAAGTTTCAACGACATTTTACTTGAATTACCGAAACAGAAATTCGATAATGCAACAAACGTGCACGTGTTCATATCACGTACAAATTTATGGACTCAGAAAAACAAACGTTTTTAGAAAACATCGATGTACGAATTACAATAGATGAAATTGAACAAGCACGGACGTCAGTCGGACTTCTAGTAGAAAAGGCTGAACATCTAAAAAATCACACAAAACAGCAAATTTGTTCGAGATGTGCTGGCTCGCATGTTGTGAAAAATTGCACAGAAGCTGACACCAATGTCAAATGTAAAAATTGCAGTGGACATCATCATACTATTGATAGTAAATGTCCGAAATATCAAGAACAGATGAAAAAACTAAAGATAATCGTTGATGACTATTCAACAAGTACTTCAGATAAGCAGCGTTCGTCACCTAATCTTACAGATTTGCATGCGTTCCCATTATTAGAAAACAAAACTCGTCGTCCTCGTCGTCTTTAAACAAAGACAATCTCGTCAAAGAAGTTTTTCGAAAAGTTATGTCAAAAATTGACCCAGTTCTCAACAGAAATTTAGACAGATTAGATTCAAAGTTATCCACTCTATCCTCATCACTATCTATTCCGTCCAGCAAAGCACAATTTAATCAAAATCTGCATCAATACCAAGATGTTGATTTTGAAACAGAAGATTAATATATTAATCAGGATAGTGATGAAGACGAAGGTTGTGAGAGTTTGAGATGAAGGAAATTTTCACTTCTACTTCCGCAGGCAAAAAAGACATTTCAGTCTCTCAATATTTTCGAAAACCCGGTGAACAGCACACTATGTGGCTGCAACGACCACCACTACTAGTAAAACACAAGCTTCAGCTTACCTATTTCCTCCAACAAGTTACCAGCGAAACCCCCTCACATTCGTTGAAACGGATTTCAGTTCCAAGATATAATCCGAGATTATAAAAAACGATTCAGAACAGTTTAAATGAGACGATCAATTAATGCGGATGTGTCACATCAATCTCACATCCGCAAATAAACACCGTGAAGAACTGATTGCTCGTTTTCAGCACTATGATGTTATCTCATTGAACGAGACCAACCTCTACCCTCAGCAGCACTTTTTTCTGTCAAACTTTACCGTTTTTCGGAACGACAGAGGAGAAAAAAAGGGAGGAGGAGTATTATTGGCGATAAGAGACACAATCAGATGTCACGAGATTTTGAACACAACAATTGATTCTAACGAAATAGTTAGTGTTCAAATAGAGTTACGTGGCAAACTACTGCTCGTTGCATCCCTCTATGTTCCACCAAGAGCAACAATTTATCTTCCTCTATTCGATCAACTTTGTCAAACAAATTCTGACACATTAGTGTTATACAGCGAGTGATTGGTATATTTACCGGTAGCAACTCAACACAAATTTGTCACAATGGGACGAAAATAAGTTGATTAACACAACAGCTGATCTAGAAAATTACAATCAGTTCATTACTAACTGTATAGTAACGGCCACAAAATCAGCTATGCCGATAGTTGGCCGAAAAATTAGTCATCGTGTCAGTTCATCTACTCTACAGACGATGGAAGAAAAGTAATTTCGATCACGATAAAACTCTCTATTACAAACAGAAAATACTACTCGATAATGCCTTGAGAAATGAAAAAACTCTAAGATTCAAACGCCTGACGGAAGTGCTCACAACGCACAAAATGAACACCGGAAAGGTTTGGGCGACAGTACGACGCTATCACAATCAAAGAAACTTCACACCGTCACCGTCAAGAACACGTCACACATATCCAAGAAAAAGCCAGAACCAGAATTAATCTTCTCATATTTCTATCCAAATCAAAACCAGAAGCGATAGAATAGTGATCAATCTTTTCAAGTCTCTCATCAGATCTGTTTTAACGTCTGGTGCACCAGCATTTCTAAAAACAGGCGAAGAAATATGGACTAAGCTACAAATCCTCCAAAACAAGAGCCTTAGAGCAGCACTAGGACTGCCGCGCTACAGATCTAATTCGTACATTCATCATGTAAGCAAAATACAAAAACTAAAAGACTATTGTGAGACACTAACTGGACGAGCAGTCCTTCGAACAGAAGGATATGAGGACAATATTATGACAGAAAACCTACACGCTCTTTTAATGTAACGAATAAGCCAATTCCGGTTCATGAGTTCATTCTAATTTTTCTGGCAAAAGACTTTAGTCAACAACAGCCAGGTCTCTAAATAATTTTTCTTTTCTTCAAGTTTCGAATAAACTGTTGGTTCCTCATTATAATAAATACAATTTTTCATCGCATAAAGTACCTTTTGTCAATATTTTAAAGAGATCTGTTTACCTATCTTTCTACAAATAATCCATGAATCATGTTAACATCATGCTAAAATCATTCAATTATTAAAGTTGTAGTAATGATTTTTTTTAGTAAATGTCATTAATATTTGACTCTATATAATGAAAATGAAAACAAGAGATTTCTATTCTTTTTCTTTTTCTCTTTGGATAAAATAAATAATAATCATTACCTATAGAATGTATGCGCCCTTGGACAAAACATAAAATCTGGAACACAAGATGATTTCATTTTTTTGTTAACACAAAAAATATAAGTGAAAAAGCGACCAAAGCTAAAAAAACCTTTTTTCCACCTTGTTCTGCCAAAAAACAAAACAGTAATAGGCTTATATAAATAAACAAAGTAATTTAAAAAAAATAGCTATGTATGTCTATTAATGGCATAAAATAAAAAGACCAAACAATTTACATGCTCAAGTTGTGCCAAATTAGTAATAATTTTTATTGCATCCATGACACATACTAATATGATATTTGTATGCCTTTTCTCAAAAACGTTGGAATAGGTAACAAATTATTTTTCATGGGGATAGAATCGGTGAGTGTATCCACTTAAGATCCACATGATTGAATCTTGTACCCAAGAGCTTGGGAATTCTTGAATTATCGTTTTATTTTGCACTCTTGTGTAAATCACACACACAAGAAAAATGTGAACTATCATAGAAATTATCACACTTAAGTGGAAAATTTTCTTTACATTTTGTTTTCATTTATGACAGCTATAACCAGGAGATATACGATCATATAGAATCATAGACACTTCCTTAAACAACTTTGTTCAAGAAGGAAAAAACTTTCGAAGTTATTTTAAGTGTGAAAATATTTGTACTTATATTAACACAAGAGTGTAAAACAAAGCGATGATTCAAGAATTACCAGATCTCGTTTTGTTCTATATGGGCATGTTCCCAAAGAGGTAAAAATGATGACGTCAACGTGCATGATATAGGCGATAGTTTTCTAAGTAAGGTAACTCTTTGTTGAAGGTATAATGGGCAATTGAGAAAGTAATCATCAATTATTCCCGCCTGTCCACAAAGGCAATAAGGAGATGGTACACATTGTGCAAGTAATAGTTCAACTTAGGAAAACCCACTCTAAGACGCATGAAAGCCTTTTCCAAAAACTTCGAAGAAAACTCAATGTGTTTGATAAAATTATGTGACCGTAAAATATTTATTTTTTAATATGTGGGTGAAAAAAATCATACTTGTCTGTAGCTTCGAGAACTTCTCGATCGTT